ACCTAATCCACACCAAACGCCGTGCCAGATTATTGTGGCAACGTACCCGACATCCTACCGACCGCTGCTCCTATAATTACTACTGCAAACAATTAAAACTGGAATTAGCCACCTTCAGATCACAATCCTTCAACTCCTACCTATCCTCCCTCTCTTCTCGCGACAATTCCCTTTGGAAAACCACAACAAAAATCCTAAATCCTCACCGCATTTCCCATCCTCTCCGACGAGGTGATGGCTCCTGGGCAGCATCTGACGAAGATAAAGCTGAGGAGTTCGCCATTCACCTATCCAATACATTTATTTCACATCCGGAATCCCATCCTGGCCACACCGTAACAGTAGAAGAACTCCTTACATCACCAATCCCACTTTCCTTGCCCCCAAAAGCTATTCATCCTTCCGAAGTAAAATTTCAATTAAAAAACTAATCCTCCGTAAAGCTCCTGGACATGATCTCCTTACACCTCAAATCCTTCGACAACTTCCATCCAAAGCAGTCATATTCCTTACATATATCTACAATTGTATCCTACGCACCACCCACTTCCCTCTGTTATGGAAACACTCCACTATTATCCTTTTCCCAAAACCAGGAAAACCTCTCAATAGCTCAACATCCTATAGACCAATCAGCCTACTCCCAATCCTTTCAAAAATTTTTGAAAAGATCCTTTTGAAACGAATCCTACCCATTATAGAATCCCAAAATATTCCTTCCCATCAGTTTGGTTTTCGCTCTCAACATTCTACTGTTCAACAAGGACTCCGAGTTGTTGATCATATTTCCTCAGCCCTAGAAAACAAGGAATACTGTTCGGGTGCCTTTCTGGACATTGCACAGGCATTTGACCGGGTATGGCACTCCGGACTGCTCTCCAAGCTTAAAATCCATTTACCTCAGTCCTTGTACCTAGTCCTCCGATCCTACCTCTCTGAGCGCTCCTTTCGAGTTCGCTGTGGAACAGAATTTTCCAATATCTACTCCGTTAAAGCCGGTGTTCCCCAAGGCAGCGTCTTGGGTCCCGTGCTTTACATCCTCTTTACTGCTGACATCCCTGTTCATCCCGATACTTTTCTTGCAACATTCGCTGACGACACCGCAATCTTATCATCCAACTCTGATCCCGAAATAGCATCCTTAAATCTCCAAAGTCACCTCACCTTGATTGAGCACTGGTGTAATAACTGGCGCATTAAAGTTAATGAATCTAAATGCCAACATATTACCTTTACACTCCGACGCAATTCCTGTCCACCAGTACTCTTTAATTCCATCCAGCTTCCTTATTCAGACACAGTCCGGTATCTTGGCTTTCATTTAGACCGAAGACTAACTTGGAACCCGCATACTAGACTCAAAAGACAAGAACTCAACCGACGATACGGCCAACTATACCGACTACTAAGCAGAAAATCTAAACTTTCCATTGAAAACAAGCTACTGATCTACAAGACAATACTGAAACCTATTTGGACTTACGGACTAGAACTGTGGGGATCAGCAAAATTTTCTAACATCAAGCGCATCCAATCCTTCCAGTCTAAAGTCCTTCGAACAATAGTCGATGCTCCTTTCTATGTATCCAACAAAACCCTACATCATGACCTTAACATCCCATTTGTCCTAGACCTTATCCCAGAAAAATTCTCCAAATTTCACCAGAACCTTACTTACCACCCAAATCCTCTTGCACAATCCCTATCAAGCATCTCCCATCCCTATAATCCTCCAAGAAGGTTGAAACGGCAGTGGCCTCGCGACCTTTTGTAGATTATATAAATTGGAGTTCTGGCAATGGCCAGATTCTTCACTCAAGACATGTGTGTATGTGGCTAAAGTGCTCTCGACCAATCTCCGCTGGCTTTAGTACCAGTGACGCGGTTGGAAGAGTAGCGCAGGGTTCTCCTGGAGTTCTCTCGCCTGATTGTATATAGGTATGCATGTTATTTTATTTTTTTTTTTTTCTCCTTAGTTTTAATTTTCTTATTTTTTAGGTTATTTTATTTTATTGTCTATTGTATATACTTTTGATTATTATTTTGTTCTATTTATTTTATTTTTTTTGTACATATGGTGTGAATGTCATCCTACCTCACTATAACCAATGTCCAACAGACAGATTGTTATAATACTCAATAAAGAAATAAAAAAAAAAAATAAATAAAAAAAAATTTTGAATGTGTTACTGAAATAATGCTATTTTTTTTTTAGCATATTACTAACTGACATTTCGGCGATTTAAGAATTTTTGGAATAATCCAATTGCACTTTAAAATTTTCAATTTACAATTAAACTTATATGCTTGGAAATATGAGTATTATTTTTTACTTTTATACGATTATTCAAGGTGGATTATTTTCCCTAATAAAGAAAAGGAATTATGCTGCTATGAGTATATATATGTGCATGAAGTTGTTCTTGACATTGTAAGAATCTGATAATCTCAAATGCATTTACTCAAACAATTCTAACAATGATTTAAGCCACATTCCTAATGATACGGTAGTTCATTAAGTCCGTTATCTAGATGCCTTAGTTAATTATACCGTTCTAGCTACCACGTTCTTTGCTTTGTTTTATTATGAGGGATTGTAACTGTCTCTAAATGACACGAATGACTGATAAAGTTATTGCAATTCCTGTCGTTTTTTATTAGATAATAATATATAAGAAGTTACTATATTTACGACATCTTATGGAACAAATAGACTACTATTTTTTTAAATTTTAGATGTAATGTTTGTTAATTTTTTCTTAGTTTTTAGTAAATTAATGGTGAGTTTCTACGAACTTCTTTACCCATAGCAAATTTAATTTGAATTTTGATAATCGTAAGATGAATTTTCAACTGATGTGAAATTTATATGCTCAATAAAAACATGAAGTGAACAAAATTCTACCGACAATCAATAATGACTAAATCAACAATAAAGAGGCATGAAAACAAAATCGATTGAAGGGACTGAGGGATAGGATGCGCTAAGTAATGCATATTATCGATTTGTAGACCGCAACGGAGAAAGGAGTGCGCGATGAAACAGGAACAGAAAATCAGGAAAAAGAAAAATAGAACAATGAAAGTAGGTAAAAGAAGCACGACAAATACGGCCAACGGCTTGTTTAAATGAATAATAAACATATAGGAACAACAAAGAAAGTTGTGATTAAACATAACTTTTATACTTTATCTCACATATATTTTGATCAAAAATGAATATATTTTACGATTCTTCCCTTATTTTGCAGGTTCAACAGAAATTCATAGTCAATTGTTTGAAGTAATTATGCTATATTTTTTTTATGTTGAGAGACTGATTTTAGAGACATATTCTTACAAAATTTGTTCTTTAATTAACTAATCAAATAGTAATTATAGTTATGGTAAGAGCAAAATTAAAATAAAAAAATACAAGTAAAACATACAATATGTGTATATATATATATATATATATATATATATACAAATTTTATGTTTTACTTGTATTTGTTTTTTAAATTTTCATCTTATTATAGTATTAAATAAATTATTGGTTTTATATATATATATATATATATATATATATATATATATATATATATATATATATAACCAATAATTTATCGGGAGGAATCGAAAACATTTTTGTTTTTGTCCATTTAAGTTAAATTATATTCCCAATTCTCATACCTCATATATGAGGTATTCATTCCCAATTCATACCTCACACTCACTCATTTCAGTTGCAATAATAAGTGCACAAAGAAGTAAATAAAGGTTTAAAAAATATAAATAAAAATCATTTAATTTTATTTTATTTAAAATCATCTTTAACAAAATTCATTCAAAGTAATAAATATCATTATCATTCGTACAAAAATAAAATAAATAATTAATAAATATTAAAAATATAATAATTTCTTAAGTACTAAACAACTTGTGTTTGGTTAAAATGACTTTAGATAGCATTTTTACAAAAAAAAAAAAAAAAAAGTCTTTATGCTTTTTTGATTAAAAACTGCGATTTGTTTTCATACAATTGGTATCACATATTTTTCATTTATTTTTTGTCAAGCAGCATAGTAACTTTTTTTTCGTAAAAATGATAACTCATCCCATTCAAACCAAACAACATCGATTTATTAAAAGCAGTATTAAATAAACACTAACAATTAGAGAAATATTATAAAACAGTCTTTAGATCATTAGTAATTAAATATAAAAAATACCAATTCCTTCAAGATAAAAGTGACAATGTAAAAAAATTGTAAACAGCGTCCGAAAATTATACATCAGATATAAAAAAAAAAAACTGCTTAAGTAAGATATCATCAAGTCATTAAACAACTTTAAACCATCATTCAGATGCGCATCTACTGGGAAAAGGGGGCTTTCGAGCTGAAGCTCCCCTCCCCCAAATTTAAATCCTGACTCCGCTAGCGTCATCATTCTTTGGTTGTTACTAACAAACAATTTTTCATTTCAGATTCTATTTCACAAAAATACAATGAAGTCTTCTTAAAAATATGTAATTTAACTTACTATTTGTTAAAATAAAGATAAAGATTCAATAAAAATAATGAAGGAATGAAGACTGAAAAAAATCTTTCAACACATGTGGTTGAAGGTGCCAAAAGAAATACAAGAAATAATTTGATCAATCCATCTCTGAATAGTTTATGAAAATTTCGAAGGTATTACGAAAAATTTTCAAGACCAAATATTATTAACATTATGGAATGTTGTCAAGTTTTTATAGTACGTTTCTTAAATGTAATTGGAATTATATTATGATAAATTAATTATATTTGTTATTTTAAATTAATATTTTAGTTGAACCCATGATTTGGTAAACTATAATAAATTCATTTAGTTATGAGGCCAATTTTGTTTTTAAAAATTTTTAATGAAAATATTCCACCTCATAATCTTAATTTTATAGTAAGTGCCGTTTTCAGCACAGTAATTATATTGAACCATTTTTTAAAATATAACTTTACGTTTAATTATTTTTTTAATTGATAGTTAGTCTTGTCAGTTATTCTGGATTTTTTTTTACGGTTGTTCGATTTTCTTTTTGATACTTCGTTCTTACGCTAATGTTGCTGCCTACACATTCAAACAGGATCCCAAAAAGACAAGCAGAGGCAAAAAATGATTCGTGGCTTCTTCCAAAAAAAATGTTCAAGAAACTCTGTTAAACAATTGTTAACAACTTAAGGGCAATAAATTAAATATTTTGTTTTTTAGAATTATTCGATTGTTTTTAGGATGCTTTTTCAGAACGATTTTAGTCATTTCCAAAATTATGAAAATTTATTGTCTTCTGTAAATCAAACTGTTATTAAGAACTTATTATTGTGATACGACCATAGACTCTATGTGTGTTTTTTACTCTTCGTACCTTGAAAATCAGTTATAAATCCTTCGTCAGCAGAGCTGTTTAACTAAACAACATATTTCTTGTATTTCCTTCCTACATTTTTGCGAGTGGCTTACACAAGTCCCTCACAGGAAGATTTGGCACCATCAACCTCTAACTAAAATTATCTGTTGAATAAATGACGCAGTCACGTTGAATGTATGTGCCTCTCGACGTGCCTCGAATCTGGTTCGGTACTGATGTGTATTTCCTGGGGGTGGTAGGAATCCGGCACTGGCACTGCTCGTCCTCTCATTGGGTACACGTAGTTGACCCCGCCTCCTGATGTACCTGTCATTAATGATCAATTTTAATTGAGTCATTAATCATTAAGATGTAAAGTATTTATTATCGTGTATCACTAATCATTTGGCTGAATTTTATTTATGAGTAACAGGTTATTAATCATACAAATGATTTAGATTTATAATCAATTCTTCATATATCTTAAAATCGATAGTTTGAATATAATTCGATAGGTTTCAAAATTTCAAAACGCTGATTTGACTTATAAAAATGCATTAATAACCACTGGCTGAGATCAGAAAATCGGAAATTTGGATTTCTTTTAATATTTAACTCAATAGAATACGATATAAACTTGGTGAAAGAACAGTACCAAATACAGGTAGCTGCAAAGAAAAATAATAATAATACATGCATCAAATGGCTCCCTTTGGATTTCCGTTTATAATAATTAATTCATAATTACTAAAACAAAGCTATTATCGAAGACTCAATATAAACTCTGTCAAATAAAGAAAAAACAAAATATTCATCTTAGGTCAGTTCAAAACGGCTTGAAAATGATATCTTATATACATTACAAACATAGTTCATTTCGTACTTCAGTTCAAAGCAATCCTAAGTCATAAGTTCTAAATCATGGTTTTATATCTAAAAACAAAAAACCTAACCCGCTTTATCAGTCCAAGTGCAGTGAAAGATAATGAATAAATAAATCTATAATTGAACATAGCTTATAGATTGTAGTTAATCTAAAAAAAAAATAACAATTTATTTTTCAAAAGTTCTCAATGCACTTGATAAGTTACTAAAACCGATTGACCAAAATGCCCATTATAAATGGATTCAGAATCACTCGATTACTTAAGTGAAATAGTACACAATTATATGTTATTTATGCCTTAATTAAAATATTATTAAAATGGAGTAAACTGATTTTGAAATTAATCTCCTTTTAAAAGTTATTATTTTTATAAATTTTTACTTACCGGGCTCGTATATCTCTTCGGCACTGTGGATGTGCTGGACTTGGACGTGAGGTCTCCTGATAATGTCGAAGACCGGAGGAGTATTGGTAGGGCTGTTCGGCGCCCCGAAGCCGAAGCCAAAGCCTGCGACTCCTCGTGCGGCTGCTATACCGGCGATGACGAGGGCGATCACTGAGAGGGTCACTGCCTTTCCGACCAGGGCCGACACGAGGGCGAAGGCCACGGCGAACACGGTATACAAGGAGAGGAACCGGAACCTTAACGAATGGAAGTAGGATGGCCTTTTCTTCCTCCCTGTTTCTGAAATAGAGAATGAATGTTATTTGAATGCAGTTATTGCAAATAACGTGATTATTTACACTGTGGTAATGGATTACCCTAAGATGAAGTCATTATCTAGAAACTGGAGTTAAAGAGGATAAAACTTATGTACCGATCGTTGTCATTGACTAAGACCAACTGAGTTTCAGATAAAACTGATCCTAAGTCATATGACAGTCTCGAGATAAATTTAGCTCAAGGATAAAACAGAACCAAATAGGATTTTCAGAACAAATAAATCCAGCAACAATAATTCTTGTTGGAGCAGGACCAAGAAGTGTCGATCGACCGGGGTGGCAAGAATATCGAGCTACTCCCTTTTCCCAAACTCCCATTCAGACTAAACGAAAATAATGGTCAAGTTGAGAGGGAGTTATAATCTAAAACTATGTTTATCTTAATTTTTTCTTTTCTTAAAAAATCTGATATGCAATGTTAAATATTTTTGAGTCCAGAGGTGCATGATATTTGTAAAAAAAGGTTCTCTGGAATGACATAAGATCTAACAGTTTGCACTGTGAATAATATTGGCATACGAAGAGGATATAGGGAATAGCAAACTTTTCAATTTTATTTTTCTTCCATCCCAGTTGAACAAATTCGTTACCTAGGACTCCACCTCGACAAACGATTCACATGGAATCCTCATACAAGACTGAAACGACAAGAAACTGCTCGACGTTTCCGACTACTCCAACACTTACTAGACAAATGCTCTCTAAGTTTTCACTCAATTACAAACGACTCATATATATATATATGACAATAATAAGACCTATTTGGACTTACGGAATTGAGCTCTGGGGCTCCACTAAGCCATCGAATTCCTCTCGTATCCAATCCTTACAATCCAAAATCCTTCGTAAAATCCTCAACGCTCCTTACTTTGTCACAAACAAAATCATCCATAAAGACCTTAATGCTACATATGTTTCCGATTTGGCCCAATCCAGATACCTATCCTTCCATAACAAACTGCAGAACCATCCGAACCCTCTTGTTTCAAACATTGCTTCCTCCTCTATCCCTGATAATCCACCGAGACGTCTGAAAAGAAGATGGTCTCGAGATCTTCTAATATAGAACTTTAATTTGAGTTCTACCAATGGGTAGTTTCTCTTCATATTTTACATGTCATGTTACCAATGTCACATTTACCTGTTGTATTTTTAATGTAATACAGTTATAAATTTCAATAAAATTAAAAAAAAAAAAAAATATCTTCCTATCACCAGCTCTTAAAATCCTGATTTCCACTTAGTCCCTATTACAAAAAGTATTAAGAACAAGTTTCCCACCTAGCCTAAGAAACACTCAAGGTTAAGGTGAGGACAGCTTTGTTATTTGTGACAAAAAGTATCAAGTACAAGTTTCAGGTTCTAGTAATGAATATGAACAACACTTTACACGGTTACCGTTACCTGTAAAAAACATCTCTAACTCAATTCAAGGTACTTACTACAATAACTTTTTCGTATTCGTGTTCCAAGAGTACACATTCTAAACCATCGTAAAATCGATAGTTCAGTAATTAATAATATATTTTGCTTTTTTAATGAAAGTTAAAATAATATCAATAAAAATGAGAGAAATGTATAAACCTTTTCGAATATTCCATTCATTCGTTGTTATTTTATTCCTTATTGAAGTGGATCTCACACCTTTATAAAATTCTTCCGCATAAAGTTCCGAAATGATTAATCATGCCATAAATAAAAACTACACTTGTGCATAAGCTCTGTATTGCGTGCCCAGAGAATTGTGGGCTTCTACAACGCGGCCATCAATACACGTCTTTAAAATGAATATCTCAGGACGCGTATTGTAAATGTCCTTGTTGCATGAAACGGCTGTCTCTGGAACTACCCTTCCTCATAGGGACATCATGAAAGGCAATGCCAATGACCTTAAAACAGAATTTCTGAATTCTGCAAATCCAAGCAACCAATAATTGTAAGTACCATCTGAAGGAGTTGTTTGAACAGAGATCTTAAATATTTGCAAATACTTGAGAGAGCTTTCTTTTTATCAGTTATCGGTTCTTCGTTATAAAAATCGTTAAAAATTGGAAAAATAATATTTGATAGTTCTAAAACATTATGCATGATAAAATAAAATCCATCAGGCTAAGTACTGTCCCCTATTATTACAGTCGAGAAGAGACAAAGTTTGCTTTAATTCGTTTGAGATATAAAATGACACACCCGCCTCAACTTACCACGGCTACCTGTGGACAAAAGAGCCACCTCAAAATCTCAGGACTGTCAAACAGCACTAACAGGGGGGCACATAATCCAGAAGGGAGAACTGTGAGAAGTGTAACTGAAAAATTGCAAACTATGACATTCCTTGATTCCTCAACAGGGTTCTAACTTGAGACCGCAATTATTTGAACAAGTTACTAATTTTTAAATTAGTGTTGATTCTTGACAAAATTTTAAACAAAAAAGTTAATTTGTTGCATAGGCCAATTCTCAACGAAAATGGAGTTAGGACCAATTTTGTGTCTTCCTTAAGATGGTCACGTTTTTTTTTAAATAAGAAGAAATTGCTCTAAAACTATTCTAGAAATTCTAATCCACCATCGTCAAGTATACAAATTTTTTTTGAAGATAATTTAGTATTTGAATGTACTAAGGTCCATGATAAAAGGGACCGCTGTACTGTAACATACGAATCAGGAATACAGACATATGCTGCTCGTGGATGGCCACTGTAACAACAGCAGTTCAGCGATCGTATTAGACCTCTTGAAAGTCTAGTTTATCGTTGGCCTTAGTATTTTTTTAAAAGTAATTTTAAGTAATTCTAAGCTTCGTCTTTAATTATCTTGAATAGTTTTTGACCAATTTATTTCTATTCAATAAAAAACGTGACCACCTTAAGGATGACACAAAATTGGTCTCAACTCATTTTCTGTTCTAAATCGGCTCATGCATCGAATGAACTTTCTGTTGGAAATTTTGTCTAGAATCCTCTCTCACCCCCCCCCCTCAGTGTTTGGCCATTAGGAAAAGACACCCTGTATAATTCAAATAATCTGGGAAAATCAAAGAAAATGGGCGATGATAACCATTGAAGTTTTTCGCCCTTTAAAACTAAAATAAAAAGTAAGGTACGAAAAGATATTCAATGTCTCTTATTTTAATCAAGATCGTAATTACTTTATAATGTATTTCTTATAATAATATGTTATCTCACTTCTCGTGGTGAGTAACTTACCCCTTTCGATTCCTCCGAAGAAGCTATACATGGGCTCGTTGTACAGGGCTACGTGGAGTGTCAGCGACTTGAGGTAAGATGTCAGGGCCTCTGCAGCGGTTGTAGAACGCCCAGCTACCGCAGAAGAAGAAATATTAACTCCAGGAAGGATCTGGTAGCTTCCTTGGAGACTGTCCAGGATATCACTCAGGCATTTGCCTTTGATGCAGGCGTCTTGGGGTGTTAACACCTGACAGAAGGATTAATTTATATAGTTAATTCTTTATGAGGCGGTTATGGAAAGGATTAAGTATATACAGTGTGACACCTGAAAAAAAAATCATTTTCATCTTATAAAATTAAAGAAACTTCTTATATTCTTAATATAAGTCTAGCTTTTAGCTTTTAGCTCACCTGAGATCTAATTAAACGAATATCGAATTGGATATCGAAGTGGAAGGCAGTGGATCAGCTGATGAGAAGGTTGTCTCCTCAACTCCTCTCTCAGTTTTTACCAATTTTATAGCGGAATCTCTCTGATTATTCACGTGATACAGTTAAAGTGTATATCAGAGCAGTTGATATTTACTGTTGGCATCTTTTTTTTTGTTATTTTAAGAAAAAAAAAAAAAAAAAAAAAAAATTTTTTTTTTCTTTTTTTTTTATTTATTTATTTATTTTTCTCTTATGATATGCGGTATGATCAGCAAGTGATGGCCAGTAAGGTGCCCAAGAGGTCTCGGTCAGACGGAGTTAGCTCACCAGCCAAACAAAGGACTCGTCGCTGCCTACGAGAAATACCTCCAGTGACCAAAATGAACACTTCAGAACCAGAACCTCAGCCCCAACCAGGTACGTCTGCACAAGAAACGATTGAAGAATCACCTTTCTTTACTCCAAACCCCTACCAAGTGCTTCAAAATGACAAAGAAGTAATGGAGTCTGCAGCAATACCCAGAGAACCAAAGCCTCCTCCGATATTTGTGAAAAATATAAAAAATTTCCAGATGTTCTGCACCCAACTAAATAAAATCTGCTCTGGCAGTTATTCATGCCTTAACAGGACCAATGACACCAAGATAACACCTGATTCTGCAGAAGCCTACCGAAAAATAGTGAAGTACTTATCAGAAACAAATGCGAATTTTCACACTTACCAGCTGAGGCAGGAAAGAGCTTTACGAGTGGTGATAAGAAATTTACATTCCTCAACCCCCACTGAAGTTATTAAAGAAGAACTAACGACGCTTGGTTTCAATGTACGCCAGGTAACAAACGTTTTGAAGGAGGACAGGGAGCAGCCAGGATTACGAAAAAGGATCCCACTACCATTGTTTTTCGTGGACTTGGAGCCATCACCAGGTATCGAAAAAATATATGATATCACAAGAATATACTATACAATGGTGAAAGTTGAGAAGCCATATCCCAAGAGAGACATCGTGCAGTGCCATAATTGTCAGACCTATGGCCACACGAAGACATATTGCCACCATCTGCCGCGTTGCGTGAAGTGCGGTGAACAGCACAAATCTGTAGAGTGCACCAAACCTATACAAGATCCAGCAGTATGTGCCCTATGCTTGGAGGGACACCCGGCCAACTACAAAGGCTGCCAAATTTACAAGAATCTCAAAACCAGACACCAGAAAAACCGGATTCAAGATGAAGCACTAAGAACAAGAAGAGAGAGAGCCTTCCAGAATTGTAAACAATGATGTATCATTCTCCCAACTACTTAGAGGTAAGACTTTAACCGATAAATGTCAAGCCCTGCCACAACAACAACCTCAAACCCAACCTCAAAATCCTCTTCATCCTAATATACCTAACCACCAACAACAAATTCCTCATATTCCTCCTCCTTCAAATGCAACAGATCTCACAAGTTTGTTAGCATCTTTCCTCACCGATTTCAAATCCCTTGTTACTCCACTCATATCACTCCTCACGAATCTCGTATCTCACCTCATCCCTCCTTTGAAAAATCCTTAAATGACTCACATCCCTAAACCCATATCCATTCTCCTTTGGAATGCGAATGGTGTTAGAAATCATACAGACGAACTATCTACTTTACTACTTGACAAGAACATTGATGTGGCACTAATTACTGAAACTCGACTAACCACTAAACAGCACTTCAATATACCACAATACCTGACATATCGTACTGACCACCCTGACGGAAAAGCACATGCCGGTACTGCGGTAATTGTACACCAATCCCTCTCCCATCACGTACTCCCATTACCAATACATGATTTCCTACAGTCCACCGCTATCGTGATAAGAACCTTCTCCTTTCCGGTCACTCTTGCATCAGCATATTGCCCTCCTAATCGATCCATATCCAATGCCCAATTCAGTACTCTCCTCGACTCCTTAGGACATCACTTCATCTTGGGTGCAGACCTAAATGCCAAGCACCAACAATGGGGTTCCAGAACCACGAATTCTCGTGGCCGAACCCTGCTGTCTGCACTCAATTCCCAACGTTTTCACCTCCTTTCCCCCAACTCTCCTACCTACTGGCCCACAGATCCCAACCGTAATCCTGATCTTCTTGATTTCTTTATCCACAGCGGCTTAAGTCCCCTCAATTGTTCCATTACACGTCTAAATGAACTTTCCTCTGACCATAGTCCTCTAATCCTTAATGTTTCACTTGAACCTGTTCCCAAACCTTCTCCACCGTCATTCATTAGGGGCCCAGTAAACTGGGACCTTTTCCGCCAAATAATCTCCGATAATATTGATCTCAACATATCCCTCAAAACTCCCGATGACCTTGATAGTGCCGTAAATTCCTTTACTACCACAATCCAACAAGCCGCCTGGACTGCCTCCTTTCCAAAAGACTCCTCCAGAATTCCTATAAAGACCATTCTACCCCAACACCTCCTTAACCTAATCCGCACCAAACGCCGTGCCAGATTATTATGGCAACGAACCCGACATCCTACCGACCGCTGCTCCTATAATTACTACTGCAAACAATTAAAACTGGAATTAGCCACCTTCAGATCACAATCCTTCAACTCCTACCTATCCTCCCTCTCTTCTCGCGACAATTCCCTTTGGAAAACCACAACAAAAATCTTAAATCCTCACCGCATTTCCCATCCTCTCCGACGAGGTGATGGCTCCTGGGCAGCATCTGACGAAGATAAAGCTGAGGAGTTCGCCATTCACCTATCCAATACATTTATTTCACATCCGGAATCCCATCCTGCCCACACCGTAACAGTAGAAGAACTCCTTACATCACCAATCCCACTTTCCTTGCCCCCAAAAGCTATTCATCCTTCCGAAGTAAAATTTCAATTAAAAAAAACTAATCCTCCGTAAAGCTCCTGGACATGATCTCCTTACACCTCAAATCCTTCGACAACTTCCATCCAAAGCAGTCATATTCCTTACATATATCTACAATTGTATCCTACGCACCACCCACTTCCCTCTGTTATGGAAACACTCCACTATTATCCTTTTCCCAAAACCAGGAAAACCTCTCAATAGCTCAACATCCTATAGACCAATCAGCCTACTCCCAATCCTTTCAAAAATTTTTGAAAAGATCCTTTTGAAACGAATCCTACCCATTATAGAATCCCAAAATATCCCTTCCCATCAGTTTGGTTTTCGCTCTCAACATTCTACTGTTCAACAAGGACTCCGAGTTGTTGATCATATTTCCTCAGCCCTAGAAAACAAGGAATACTGTTCGGGTGCCTTTCTGGACATTGCACAGGCATTTGACCGGGTATGGCACTCCGGACTGCTCTCCAAGCTTAAAATCCATTTACCTCAGTCCTTGTACCTAGTCCTCCGATCCTACCTCTCTGACCGCTCCTTTCGAGTTCGCTGTGGAACAGAATTTTCCAATATCTACTCCGTTAAAGCCGGTGTTCCCCAAGGCAGCGTCTTGGGTCCCGTGCTTTACATCCTCTTTACTGCTGACATCCCTGTTCATCCCGATACTTTTCTTGCAACATTCGCTGACGACACCGCAATCTTATCATCCAACTCTGATCCCGAAATAGCATCCTTAAATCTCCAAAGTCATCTCACCTTGATTGAGCACTGGTGTAATAACTGGCGCATTAAAGTTAATGAATCTAAATGCCAACATATTACTTTTACACTCCGACGCAATTCCTGTCCACCAGTACTCTTTAATTCCATCCAGCTTCCTTATTCAGACACAGTCCGGTATCTTGGCTTTCATTTAGACCGAAGACTAACTTGGAACCCGCATACTAGACTCAAAAGACAAGAACTCAACCGACGATACGGCCAACTATACCGACTACTAAGCAGAAAATCTAAACTTTCCATTGAAAACAAGCTACTGATCTACAAGACAATACTGAAACCTATTTGGACTTACGGACTAGAACTGTGGGGATCAGCAAAATTTTCTAACATCAAGCGCATCCAATCCTTCCAGTCTAAAGTCCTTCGAACAATAGTCGATGCTCCTTTCTATGTATCCAACAAAACCCTACATCATGACCTTAACATCCCATTTGTCCTAGACCTTATCCCAGAAAAGTTCTCCAAATTTCACCAGAACCTTACTTACCACCCAAATCCTCTTGCACAATCCCTATCAAGCATCTCCCATCCCTATAATCCTCCAAGAAGGTTGAAACGGCAGTGGCCTCGCGACCTTTTGTAAATTATATAAATTGGAGTTCTGGCAATGGCCAGATTCTTCACTCAAGACATGTGTGTATGTGGCTAAAGTGCTCTCGACCAATCTCCGCTGGCTTTAGTACCAGTGACGCGGTTGGAAGAGTAGCGCAGGGTTCTCCTGGAGTTCCCTCGCCTGATTGTATATAGGTATGCATGTTATTTATTATTTTTTTTTTTCCTTAGTTTTAAATTTCTTATTTTTTTAGGTTATTTTATTTTATTGTCTATTGTATATACTTTTGATTATTATTTTGTTCTATTTATTTTATTTTTTTGTACATATGGTGTGAATGTCATCCTACCTCACTATAACCAATGTCGAACAGACAGATTGTTATAATACTCAATAAAAAAAAAAAAAAAAAAAAAAAAAAAAAAAAAAATTAAACGAAAAAATTTAAATTATTTGAGAGACACAGAAATACTGAAATTATTTACTAATTTGTTTATTTATCGATTTTTTGGTAGGTCTGGGATACTTAATAAGTATCTAAACGCTAAAACCATTCAAGAGAACAAAAAGAGGAGCCACACGGTTTCATATGACCCGGAGGGAGGGAGAGTGTATAGTTCTTTAGAGTTGTAATTGATCTAAACCAAACATAATGGCAAATAATTAACAAATATTTTTATGTTAAATATTCAACAGTTAGAAGCAATTGAATGAACAGGGAATTGAATTCCGTTTGGACAATATTAAAAAAATATTTATAAATGAAATTAACAATTATCAAATATAGCAGAAGCTAAATATTTACTTATAAATATTTATAAGTATAGTATATAAGACATTGCTGAAGCCTTTGGAAAATATTTCAGAGAAATATCTTCCTCAAGCTGCAGCGATGACTCGATAAATGATCATGAAATACATCAAAATTACATTTCAGGGCAGAGTCAGTCTGATGAATACAATAGACCCTTTCGTCTAGATGAACTAAATTCTTCGCTTAACGAGTGCAAAGGAAAATCAGCTCCTGGTCTCGATGAAATTCCAGGAGAGTTCATAAAGCAGCTACCAGAAACAGGAAAAATATATCTTTTAAATATATACAACGAAATCTGGACAAGCAGAACATTTCCAACTAAGTGGAGGAAATCTGTCATAGTACCGATACCAAAAAAAGAAAAGAGCACCGTTCCCAAAGACTATCGACCCATTTCCCTTATCTCATGCGTTTCCAAAATTCAAGAAAGGATGGTCAATATAAGATTGACTAGTATGCTGGAATGTAAGAATGTCCTTTATCCATACCAATTTGGCTTTAGGCCAAATCGTTCAACTATTGATTCTCTTTTATCATTAAGCTTAGAAGCGCAGGAAGCTTTTCACACGGAGAACACTTAATATCAATATTTCTGGATCTTGAAAAAGCTTATGACACAATGGAAAGAGAACGTGTGTTGAAGATTTTGGAGGAAGTAGGAATAGGAGGAAATATGTGGTCTTACATCAAAAATTTTCTAACCAATAGGGAATTTTCGGTAAGGGTAGGAAATACTTTGTCGTCAAGCCATCGCTTGCAAAGGGGTACCCCACAAGGATCTCCTCTTAGTTCGACCCTATTCCTTCTTGCGATTAATAGTATAGGGTCCATTATCAAGACCCCGACCAAATGTTTTCTATTTGCCGATGATATTGTTATCACAGCCAGAAGCAAATCTATTCTCTATATACAGTGGAGGCTGCAAGAAGTGATGGATAGAGTAAAAGATTGGACAAGGGAAACTGGATTTAAGATATCATCTTCGAAGTCTAAATGTTTACACATTTGTAGAAGTCGAAAGTGTCAGCAGAATAATCCACAAATATTTATAGAGGGTACTTCAATTGAGTATACAGAAAGTTACAAATATCTAGGAATGATAGTTGATAAGAGACTGAATTGGATACAACATATCACATATTTGAGAGAGGAATGCACAAAAAGACTCGGAATTCTTAAATGTCTCTCACACTCAAGCTGGGGTGCCGATAGATGCACTCTAATAAAAATATACCAGTCTATAATACGCAGCAAAATAGACTATGGAGCACAGATATATAATACATCCAACAAAACAATATTGAGGATGTTAGATTCCATACACAATTCAGCCCTTAGAATATGCACTGGAGCGTTTCGAACTTCTCCAATCGACAGCATCTATGCTGAATCTGGAGAAACATCCTTAAACTTGCGACGAGAATACCTAACTCTAAAATACATTGCCAAATTGAAAGCATCTTCCCACCACCCATTAACTCCATATTTATTTTCAGAAGAATCAGAAAGAAACGGACTTAGAGATATAGAAAATAACTTCTTTAAACAGGTGATTTACAAGGCAACAACTAAAATAAACATGGATACGAATATTATAAGACCCGTCCCAGAATTAAAAATGCCGCGCTGGAAAAAAGACAGACCATTGATTAATAAATCCATGACTAAAATTGCAAAGGCATATCCGCTCGAAATACAAAAATCTTTTTTAAAGTTAATGGAACAATACAAAAATTTCGATTTCATATATACGGATGCATCCAAAGAAGGAGATAACGTAGGATGTGCTTTAGCGAGTAAAGAGAACAACTTACTGTTTAAATTACCTGGAGAATGTTCAGTATTCACAGGAGAGGCCACTGCCATCATGAATGCCTTATATCTTATAAGCGAATCTGAAAAGAACTACTGGGTAGTTGTGACGGACTCATACAGTGTTTTAACTGCCATTGAAAACCCATATCCTAGAAACTCCATAATTAGGGAAATTCTCAACACCTGGTGGGAGGTAAAAAATAAAGGAGTAACAGTTGTCTTGGTATGGGTACCAGCTCATTGCGGAATTTTAGGGAATGAAAAAGCTGACAATGCAGCCCATTTAGCAAGAAGTGGAGCAGAAGAAGAGGAAGTGACTAGAGTGAAATATATCACTTTAGAAGACTGGGTACACGAAATAAAGAAAAAACAACTGGCAGAGTGGGAAAAAGAGTAGAGGATCAAAGAGTGTAAGCTGAAAGAAGTGAAACCAATTGCGATAAATGGCTCACTAGCAACAGAAAGTCCAGGCGTGAAGAAATTATACTGTGCCGCCTAAGGATTGGGCACTGCCAGTTCACTCATAGCTACCTTTTAAGAGGCCTAGAAGCTCCTACTTGCGAAAAATGTAACAATACACCGCAAACTGTGAAACACCTTCTAGTAGAATGTTCCCAATTCGAAAGGCTCAGAGAAAAAATAAAACTAGGAAAAACACTAAACGAAATACTAAAAGACAATGAAGAGAGAGTCTCTATCCTGTTTAAATTTTTAAAGATTATCAACTACTATAACAGAGTTTAAATTATATAGAAAACGCCAATGACCCTTTAGGGTAGAGGCGAGAAAAAGGGAAAAAAAAAAAAATATTTACTAAAATTATTTAATTAAAATTCGTATTTTTATGAATCTTATTATATTTTTTTTCGTCAAAACTAATATTTAATTTTATGTAACAAATTTATAATAATGTTTTATTTTCTTCTCTGGATCTTTGAAAATACGTTTGATTATTTTGTTGCTATAAAACTGAAATATTGATTATTGTGTCTTAAGAATTGAGGACAACAAAAATGAGGAAGGTTCAGAAGTATATTTTAGTGGACTTAGCTTTTCTTAAAATGGTTTATGTCTGTATAACTATTATGTCTTCATTTTACTCATCATAAATGATATCCGTATGCTGTAACATCGTTAGAAATCTTACCTTTTTAGGGTCTGTGATATTGTTGATGGCATTGGCCGCGGCTGCCGCGAAGACCAAAAGGAGGAATACACCCTGGTGGAACATCCCTGGAAGACTAGTGCCGTTGATGGCCCGGGGGCGGTATATAAAAGAGGACTGGCCTACTTGGAGGCGGCGGGGATGGAACTTTGTCCAGTGAACCATGGAAGCCAGCCGATTAGCAATGTCCGCCGGCTGGTATTTGGATTTGACATGCAGCCATGCGAGTGATCAATCCTACAGGAGCCTTTTTTTTTTTTGTATATATTCACGGTAAAGATAGTATGGACTAACACATTTAATAAAAACAACATATCGTCGGTTTATTGCAGAAAGTCACTGACATTGGCATCCTTAAATATTTGGCGCTCTCGGGCAATGATATACTTCTTCAAAAAATGTATTTCTTTTTTATATTAAGTGCATAATATTTGAATTTTATTTTATTCAATATATCTTTAATTCAGTTGCTTTATTTATATGCTAACATTAATTATGTTCATACGCTTTATAATTTGTTTTTATTCGTAGCAAGTGACAGGCACCTCCAACAGGTCGGTATTAAAGCCACCACTGGTCGCTAAGTGCATTTTTGATGTAGCTGAAATATTCACAACGTTTTGTGAATTTAGATATTGTTAATTGATAAGTAGAGGAATGTGTTTATTTGGGACAGTTAGTTTCCTTTTCAGACAGAATTACAAAAGAAGTCCAGATAAGAATAGCATTTGGTTGGAACAAGTTCTGGTCTCTGAAGTACATAACAAAAGAAAACGTAAGTATCGACCTAAAAAGGCTAGTTTTCGATAGATGTATTATGCCAGTGGTGACCTATGGCTCCTAAACAAGGTCAATGACAAAAGCCCAAGAGAGGAAGATCAAGGTGTGGCAAAATAGCATCGAGAGAAGCATTATGAAATTAAAGAAGATAGATGAAATCAGATGCAAGTAGATAAAAGAAGAAACAGGGCTCAAAGACACACTTTCGCAAATAAGAAAAGGCAAATGGAAAAGGGCTGGACATCTCCTGCGATGCAATGACAATAGATGGTCAAAAATAGTCACCGAATGGACTCAATATGATCAGAAAAGGATGAGAGGTCGACAAATGAAGAGATGGAGAGATCCATTTAAGCTTTTGGCAAGACCTCTCTGGTGGAGAGCAGATAGGGACAGAGATGTGTGGAAAGAAACATGGTTAAATGTCAGAAATCCCTCGTCCCATTAGGGCTAATCACCCAGGGAAGTGTTCAAGACTATTACTCCTAAGGGAAGGCCTATGCAAGAATAGCAAAAAATTTATTATAAATTATATTAATGTAAAAAATTGTTTTCTTTTGTTTTTTTTTCTTTTGTAATTGTATGTTTTTATAGAAATTGTAATATTTGTGCATAAATAAAGGCTATTTTCATTTCATTCAACTGATATAAAAATCGCTGCAAATTAGTACACAATGGTTTAGTATTTCCAAACAATTTTCAAGCTTACTTTCCATGTAATATTAAGAAAAATAAATAAAAAGGGATTCCTAAGACCTACTTTTAAAATTTTATTTTTTATCATTGATGCTTTGCTTAAAAAATGGATAACATTGCTCCAGTTGATGTAAAACTTTCAAAAAATCAAAAACAAAACAAAATATGTAAGCACTGTAGCAGAACATATATATTATATTTAGAACACCCCTATTTTTGCTCCAAATTGTCCGATCTAACGATTTTTTTTTATTTTATTTTTTTTTAGTAATATCTTTATTAGTAAACTTTTAAATAACCATACAACATTTACAACAATTGTACTCTTCTTGCATTATACAGAAATGTAATTTTACCACGTAACTTTTTTTCCAGCTTCATTTCGTTGAAGTACGTTATATAGATAAATTTAAAGGCCATCGAGGAGAAGACTTTAGCCAAGTTTCATTGAAATTGGTGCATTCGCTTAGGCGCAGATATAATCTATACCAACTCAGGTTTTTCGACTCCATCTTGGAAGGAAAGGGCGCATAGTAATGGCGAGGTAGGAGGAACATCCACGGATGACTTCTAACTTTGATTCCAAATTTTTTAAAAATCGGTCCAGTAGTCTCGGAGAAAAGGAAGAAAAACACAAAATTGGTCTTAACTCCTATTCGGTTCGAAATCGCTACATGCATTAAATGAACTGTTTGTTGGAAATGTTTTCTAAAATCACTCCACAGACTTTTGCCATTACGAACTGAAACATCCTGTATAAAAAGAGAAGTTCACAGGGAACTTTTTTGAAATTAATTTTATATTAAAAGTTTAACTTATTTTTAAGCTCTTGAAAAAATTACGTTAAATTAAAATTTGTCAGTGTTTGGGTTTAGGTTATAATTTAAATGAAATGAATTACTTAATTCTAATTCTTTAATAGTTTGTTTGAGTAGCTAAGAATAAAATCCATTTTTTCGCTAAAACAAAAGAAATTTGAAAAAAAAATTAAAAATAAAAATTCTACAAAATCTTTACTTGGAAAGTTACAAAGAAAAATTTTTAGTTCCGATATATATTACGATATATATATTACGATATATATATAATAAAGATCTTTATTAAATCTAATTAAGATTAAATGCTCTTTTTCCAATCATAAGGGTAACACAATTACCCTATAATGTTCTCTGCTACCTTTCTTCTTGATGGAATAATAGATATAAAATAGTTGAAAAGTTATTAGTTGCTTATTAGCTATTTTTCTATTGCCCTAAGAAGTGCTATTTTGGTATTGCCCTTCAAATGTTTTTGTCTTTTCTGATTTAATAACATCTTATCTAACAGTACCAACACTTTCCTCATCATCACCTCAAAATGCATTTTTTGGACATTTCTATGCATTCTACATTCCTATTCGGTCAAATTATGCAGTGCCCATTCATGAGCTTACGAAGAAACTAGGTTTTTCCTTTTATCACAGCGACATTTAAGCAATTGTAGCCAATTTATCTCATTTTTTTTATCTCATTAGAATAAAACAACTTAAGTACTTTTGATTAAATCTATACTTGTATTTATAGTAATCAAACATTTTGGAAGAGGCAAAAATTGTTTGATGCACGTCAATTCGAGAAGCAACAGATGATTTCTATGAAACTGTCTTTTGAATTAAATTGATTAGTTTAGCCTCAAACAGCTTAAACGAGAGTATATACTTGAAAATTAAAATAATTATCACACTTTCTTTTTTGTAATATAAAACAGGTAATAAACTCAACATTATATGGCCTTCAGTACAGGAGTGAAATTAATATTTTCGTTTTGGTACATTCAGTAATTTATATTTTTCTCCTAACATAATTCATATAGAAATCTCATTCAATATACGTAGGGTAACATAACAAGCACATTCAGTGAATAAGTGATGGACCAAAGAGCTTCCACAACTAACAAGAATTTAAACTAAAACAAAATTTCGTTCGAAATTACCCTGCCATTAAATCCTAATTGAAACATAGAAAAACTAACTCCTGTAGAAATCCGAAGTGAAATGGAACTGTCCACCAAAACCAGAATATATCCCTCCACACTAATTCATATCTGGTAAGTAAAACAATAAAAACAAGTTATACGTCAAAATAAATTTCATAAATGAAAGACTTTTTTTCATTAAGAGGAAAAAGAAAAAAGAAGTGATACTTATAAGGCACAAAATTGATCGTAAAGAAGTAATTAAATTACAGATTTATGTCACCTTAGAATTAAAATAAACGGCAAGTATAGAAAAAAAATTAAAGTTAAAAAGATTATAGAAAAATAAATGTCAGTATGTTAATAGAGGGTGTCCCGTAAGTAGAAGGAAATATTTGTAGATCTTAATCAGGGGTGCCCATACATCCCAAGGTCGATGACGCATAAATACCCCACCTCCACCTCTCTCCAAAAATTGTATTACCCTCCTCTTCTAAAAAACTTTGCAAGCGAAAGTACAATTAGAAAAATCGTAGATCATAAGCAATTACACTAGCGGAGTCTGTCCCGTGTTTTCAACTTAGTTCTCTATTTAGAAGCTTTTCACTCTGAAAATTTATAGCTCCGTCAAAATGAACCCTTCTCAAAAACTTAGATGACGCAACTTGCACCATGAAACCCCCTTCAGGGCACCGCTGATCTTGACAGTAGACATAAAGATCTACAAAAAAGGCCTATTGAGCTTACAAACCCAGCAAAGTTCCGTTTTAAAAAAAGTCATAAATTATCTATGATTTTTTTTTTCATCACCCTTCAACTGTACTACAATTACTCCACTTTTATAAAAAAAAAAAAAATTCATTCATTTAATTAGCTTCAAGTCCATATTAATTACGTAGAGGTTTATTATGGAAATTTTTGAGATTCACCTCAAGTTGTGTAAAGAAATGATGTGATTTTCTATCCGATCACATAAAAGTACATGTTTTCAGCAAAAATTGTTACAATTAACTATTGCCTAGATTATATTACTATTTTTCCGTCATATGGGATGTAGTGTAATAGCCATAATTGTCTAAAAACACATATTATTTATAACAATAAAAAAATTAAAAATGAAGATTCGTAAATAAAGTGTTTATGAAACCGTAATTTTCTCCCAGATCTCTGTCATAAGAATTTACCTGTATTTTTCAGTGGCAAATTTAATGTTTCTTAATAAAATTTAAAATAAATAAAATTACTGATTGCTTTAATTATATTCATGAAAACGGAAATATTAGGGCTGGAACATTATGTTTATCACTTATAAATACCTATTCATTTGTATGACAGAAATCTGACAGAAAAACATAATTTCATAACCACCTTACAAGAAAAATATTTGATTAATCATTATTGTTAATTTTTTTTTATATTCATAAGTAAAATGTGTTTACATCCCATATCACGGAAAAGTAAGAAATAAAAGCTTTGGAATAGCAAATTGTAGACATTTTTGCTGAAAACACGGGTACTTTTATGGGACTGGATAGAAAATAAAAAAATGTACCTAAAGCTAATTAAATGAGATAGTTTTTCTAAAAGTGGGGTAACTGTAGTACAGTTGAAGGGTGATGAAAAAAAACCATAGGTAA